CGGTCGCGAAGAACAAACTCCCCCTGCTGGCCAGGAGCTGCCTTGGGCTGGGGGCTCAGGGGTGGGGGGGGGGGGGGGGGTTGGGGTTTAGGGTTTAGGGTTTAGGATTCAGGGTTTAAGGTTTATTTTAGTGTTGAGGGGCTAGAAGCTGCCTAGTTCGGGGGTTCAGGGGGGGTTTAGTGCTTAGACTTCGAAAAGGGTCTGGGGTTTAGAATGAGAGGACTTTATAGGAACAAACCATGGATTCGTCTAGGGCTTAGGGTTTAGGGCTTAGGGCCCACAAACAAGGAGCTGTGGTGAAGATTACCGAGAAAAAGTGGCAGTGCTCGTTTTCGCTCTCTCTATCTATCTCTCTCTCTCTCTCTCTCTCTCTCTCTCTGTCTCTTTCTTCGACCCTGAAGCCTAACCCTAAAGCCCTATAAACCCTAAATCCTAAAACGCTGAACCCCTAAACCCTAAACCCTCCAAACATCAAAACCCCTAGACTCCGAACCCTAAACCCTAAACCCTCAACCCTCAACCCTCAACCCTCAACCCTCAACCCTAAACCCTAAACCCTAAACCCTAAACCCTAGACCCTAGACCCTAGACCCTAGACCCTAAACCCAACCCGAAACCCGAGATGCCCGGAAGCCCCTACTGAGGAGCAGGCGGCCTCCGTGTTTGGCTGCTCCTCATCCTCCTCCTCCCCGAAAATCTAGGGTTTGGGGTTTGGGGTTTAGGGTTTAGGGTTTAGGGTTTGGGGTTTGGGGTTTGGGGTTTAGGGTTTAGGGTTTAGAGTTTGGGGTTTAGGGTTCAGGAGTTTGGGATTTGGGGTTTAGGGTTTAGGAGTTTCGGGCGCTCCGGGGTGTAGGATGCAGGGGCTTAGGGCCCCGGGCTAGTGTGTAGGGCCATAGGGGATTAGGGTTGTTGGATTTGGGCCCGTTCACAAAAATCTTGGGCAAGTGTCCAGTGTTGGAGTGTTTCAGGGCAGACAGCATCTGCAAGTGACTACTACTTGCTTAAGAACCCCCCAAAATAAGAAACATTCTTCCTTCTAAGGGCAAGATAGGGATGATAATTTTCTTTTTTGGAGGGTTCTTGAGCAAATACTAGATGAAGACTCAAAATGCACTTCCCACATCAGCACAGTCATGAGCCCCCTGAAAGTCCTTCACCGTAGACGCTGAACCCTAAACCCAAACCCCCTGAACCCTACACCCTACACCCTAAACCCTAAACCCGAAACCCTGAACCCTAAACCCCAGGTCTGGGCTGTACGGTAGGGGCTCCTCACCCCCGGAGCTTGCCGACATCTCCGCCGCGTGCGCGTCTGCTGAGGCTGCCGCAAGCCTTCAAACTTAAAACTTGGGTCCCTAAGCCCCTAAACCCTAAACCCTAAACCCTAAACCCTAAACCCTAAACCCTAAACCCTAAACCCTAAACCCTAAACCCTAAACCCTAAACCCCAGCCCTAAACCCTAAACCCTAAACCCGAGCATGCCGCAAGCCCGGGAACACAAGATCTTGGAAGCCGTCCAAAAAATAGCCCGGCTTTAGGGTTTAGGGTTTAGGGTTTAGGGTTTAGGAGCTGAAAAGGGTTCACCCTCATGACGTAGCCCAAAACCCCACACCCAAAGCCGAAGTTGCCAAGCTTTACAGGCCGTGAGCTCTGAACCCCAAACCCCCAAACCCTGAACCTGAACACTCTAAACCCTAACACTCTAAGCCCTAAACCCTAAACCCTAAAACCCAAACCCTAAACCCTAATTAAGACGAGGCGCAGAGATTCCGAACGCCCTCGGCTCCCGCGGAAGGACGCCGCCCACCGCGAGGCGTTGCGGAGTCGATCCTTGGGAGGGCTTGTAGGGATTAGGGGTTTAGGGTTTAGGGTTTAGGGCTTAGGGTTTTGGGTTTTAGGGGTTTAGGGTTTTAGGGGTTTAGGGGGTTAGGGGTTTAGGGGTTTAGGGGTTTAGGGGTTTAGGGGTTTAAGGTTTAGGGGTTTATGAAGCGGTCGTTCGACGATCCAGGCGAGACAGACGCACGGATCCCTGCTCCAAGCTCTCTCCTCGTTGAATTAATTATGAATTACGGGCCAGTCTACGCCGAGCGTAACACCGAGCCCACGTGACCTTGGGACTAACAAAGGATCTCGGGGAGGCTGAAAGGGAATAGCCAGCGCCCGACTGTACCGTCTGTGTGCCCAAAAAACATCTGACAGCTTCCCGACATCAGCCCACACTGTACAAGGGGCAATGCAAATCGACGGGACCTCTTCGTTAACACCCCAATGAGCGAGGGACTTGGTCCGGGACATTGGGAAATCAATGGCAGCTTCTTTGAACATGAACCGTACGATGCTTCCAAACACATGTAGCTGCTTGGAAAGCAAAGGTCTGCACATTTTCAGCTGGGGATACTCCGTTTCATGCACAAAACAAGCGGGTACGTCAGCGACCAGCCCAAGAGGCAGTTGTTGAGGCTTCCAGCTGGCCACGTTCACTGGGGATAACCAACCAGTAAAGGGTTTTAGATGTTTAGGGGTTTAGGGGTTTAGGGGTTTAGGGGATTAGGGGATTAGGGGTTTAGGGGTTTCGGGGGTTTCGGGGTTTCGGGTTTAGGGTTTTGGGTGTTGGGTTTAGGGTTTAGGGTTTAGGTTCAGCCTCTCAAGTCCGAGTCAAGCTCGTGGTTCTGGTATCGAAAATCTACCCACCCACCCTTTGGATCCCACAACATAGGAAAAATCGCAGTTTTGACTTCAATTAATTAAAAGAACTGAGTTGTCGACCTTGATTTCGATAAGGACACATCGATTCTAAAACAGGGCAAAATTTGCCGCCCACCGGGTTTAGGGGTTTAGGGGCTTTGGGGGTTTAGGGGTTTAGGGGTTTAGGGGTTTAGGGGTTTTAGGGGTCTAGGGGCTTAGGGGTTTAGGGGTTTAGGGGCTTAGGGGTTTAGGGGTTTAGGGGTTTTAGGGGTTTAGAGGTTTAGGTTTCAGAGGCTTCTCGAGATTTAGGGTTTTTGGGTTTTGCGCTTTGGGGCTGAGATTTGGGGTTGGGGGCGGAGGGGCTCCAAGAGTTGGGGGTCGGGATGGTGCTTCGGACCAGCGGGGTTTAGGGTTCAGGTGTTTAGGGTTTAGGGTTTAGGGTTTAGGGTTTAGGGTTTAGGGTTTAGGGTTTAGGGTTTAGGGTTTAGGGTTTAGGGTTTAGGGTTTAGGGTTTAGGGTTTAGGGGGTTGGGGTTGTTGGGGTTGTGGGCTTCAGGCCTACTGCAGCCTGAAGAACGACAAGGACTACTAAGTCACGCGCTGCAGCCCTGAATCCTCAAGCCCTTGTACCGCACACGCCTATCCCGAACAAGCCCGGGACCCCTAGAGCCTAAGTCCTAGGCCCGAAGCCCTAAACCCTAAACCCTAAACCCTAAACCCTAAGCCCTAATCAAACCCTAAACCCTACACCCACACCCAAACAAACCACACAAAAGAAAGACTGCGAGCGGCCATGGCAGCCGCTGCCGCGGCCGCGCTGCTGCCGTTCACGCCGCGTCTGAAGCCGGGGCTATCGTCCTCGCGTGAAGGCTCTGGTGTAGGGTGTTTAGGGTTTAGGGTTTAGGGTTTTTAGGGTTTTTAGGGTTTTTAGGGTTTTTAGGGTTTTTAGGGTTTTTAGGGTTTTTAGGGTTTTTAGGGTTTTTAGGGTTTTTAGGGTTTTTAGGGTTTTTAGGGTTCTTAGGGTTTTTAGGGTTTTAGGGTTTAGGGCTTCGGGATTAGGGTTTAGGGATACCTGGGATTCTCTTTACCTACAGTCTTATGGGTTATACCTGCTAAGAACTAACTACTGCTCTGCAAGTAAATTGGTTCCCAGGTAGGCTTAGGGTTTCGAGGGTTTGTCTGCCGGATCCCTAAAACGGCAGAGCCTGGGGGGCCTGAAGGGTTTTGGCTTCCGACTTCAGGCTCGGGCTTTGGGCTTTGGACTGATCTTGGTTCCGATGCTGTCTGGCATTGCGGCTGTCACACCAGAGAGGAGGTTTTTTTCTATCAGTTGACTTGGTAGCCCAGTAGCCATAGCATGATAAGGGCACCCTTTTTCTTGGGGGGGTGGTTGCTTCATGAGGGAGCCCACGACCAAAACAAAGGGGGCCAAAGGGTACCACTGGGCTACCAAGTATCCCTAACCCTAAGCCCTAAACCCTAAGCCCTAAGCCCTAAACCCTAAACCCTAAACCCTGAACCCTAAAAAGAACAAAAAAAAAAACAGGGGTAAAGGGGTCGTGCTGCATGCCTTCGGGAATGCAAAGATCTCTCTTGAGGGAACCCCAATCATCCCAGGGATGTGGGGGTTGCTGCTCGCCCTAAACCCTGTAAAAACCCTAAAAGCCCTATGAACCCCAGAAAACCCTAAAACCCTATAAACCCTATACACCCTACGTAAGAACCCTAAAAGCCCTATAAACCCTAGAAAACCCTAAAACCCTATAAACCCAAAAAAAACCTATAAGCCCTATATAACCCTCAATCCTAAACCCTCTAAACCCCTCGACCCCCAGCCGTCCGACCGGTAGTGGGGGTAGTCGACCATGTGGCCGACCCGGCCCGACTTCAAGAAGCGGAGGAAGTTCTTCTTGGAGAGCATTCCCTGATCCAGGTTGGGCTGACAGAAAGGCCCACCACCCCAAAGAGACGGAACAGCTGAAGTCTATTTCAAAAGGCGACACACTATCCAGAAAGAAAAGAATGCAAAAGCCTGCCCTAGAATTGCGCCCTAAACCCTAGACCCGAAACTCTAAATCCTAAAGCCTAAGCCCTAAACCCTAAACCCAAAAATAACATGACGACTCCGATCCAAGCTGCCTGCAGCACGTCCTGACCAATGCGGGGTGGGCAAAAGCATAGGGCTTGGGGGGTTGGGGCTTCGGGTTTAGGGCTTATGGAAACTGTGTAGGTTCGTGCCAGGAGTTTTTGGATGGGTTCTGGGCGAGAAAGTGTGTACCATTCTATTCGTGGATTTCGGTCTTTGCATGAAGTGGCTATGCAAAAGATGAAATGAAGACGCTGAGGCACATAGAAATTGTAGCGTCTGTCAACTGTTCCATATCTGGGAGTTTACGGAATAAGGGACCCCTAATATAGACCCCAAGCGGTAGGATTCCCTTACAACAAGGGCCCCAATAAAGTACCCCTGATTTCGCAAACCCCCAATAATCCTTTAAAGGGTATATATACATATATGCATATATATATATATATATAATATTATAGATATATATATATATATATAGAGTGCCCTCATTGCATCATTTTCTATGGGGATTCGGGCAATCGGCACACTGGAAAGCCGCCCCTAGCGGCTTGTCCGCTCCATTCCCCTTGACGGTCACTGCATTTCTGGTGGAGCGATCTGGGGGTTTTAGGGCTTAGGGTTTAGGGATTGGGGTTTAGGGTTTCGAAAATAGGGTACCCTTTTGGGGGGGGTTCCTGTCGTGAGGATTCTAGTATTTTGGGGGCATATGTGGGGGTACCCCCATTTCCGGACATGCTCTTCTATCTGACTCTGGCAAAACCACACATCGCCGCAGTGGTGGGCAAACTTGCACTTCTTTCCTCTTGCAGCATGGCAAATGCCAG